CCATCCACGCTTCTCCAGTTCCCTCCACCCTTTCGCCCCCACCTACCTTGGTAGAGTCCAATACAGTTCCAATCTTTACTCATCCTCCCCCTACCATTTCCAATATTGTCTCCCATACGACATCTCTGAATTCTGAAACACTTGAAGCAATCTCTGAATATATTGCAGAGACCAAACCATCAATGGACACTGATCCACCCTCCGCTCCTTCTCTCTCCTCTGCTCCATCTGCGCAACTCCTTTCTTCACAGCGCACCATTCCTTCACTGCTTGAACGTTTTCCACTGCCTCCGCATGTGGACTTTTCTAACCCCTCTAGTTCGTAGGAACCCTTACCTGCGGATTCAGGTATCTTTATCATTGCCAATCATGGCCTATTTACAGTGGAATATACGCGGCCTCAGGGGTAATCGGGGTGAGCTTCAGATGTTACTCTCCCAGTTTTTCCCTGTTGGTGTTTGCTTACAGGAACCAAAATTACACTCTGCTGTTATCTCTCCCATCTCAGGCTATAATTTATTGTATTCTTCAGATCCTTTTCCTGATGGGACCTTTAATGAAAGTGGCCTTCTTCTACGCACTGATATTCCGTACCATCAGCTATTTGTTCGTACTTCGCTGCATTACACAGCAGCCCGTATCCACTTGCATAGGTGGTATACGCTCTGTTCTTTATATCTCTCTCCTTCTCAGGCATTATCTATTCTGGATATTGCCTTTCTTGTTTCGTCATTACTGCCACCGATTCTGTTATTTGGAGATTTTAATGCCCACCATTTCCTCTGGGGGGGTCTCACTGTGATTCCCGTGGCATTCAGTTAGAGGCTTTTCTTGCCACCCACCCCCTCCATGTTTTAAATACAGGTACTCACACCCATTTTGATCCTTGGACTCACACTCTCTCTTGCATCGATCTCTCAGTCTGCTCTTCCTCCGCCGCATTAGACTTCACTTGGTCTGTTCTCCCGGACTTACATGACAGCGATCATTTCCCAATCATTCTTACTTCCCCTTCATATTCACCACCTCTTCGCATCCCACGCTGGCAATTTGATCAGGCAAACTGGAACCTTTACTCACACCTAACTGTTTTTAGAGAGGTTCCTTCTTCATCCTCCATCGATGAGCTTTTACACCTCTTCTCGTCCTCCGTTTTAACCGCAGCTTCTCATTCTATACCCCAAACTTCGGGCAGGCATTCTCAGAAATGCGTGCCTTGGTGGTCTCCTGCTTGTGCTCGTGCAGTACGTTCGAAACGCGCTGCAAGGGGCAGGTACCGGTACAATAGAACCACAGAGAGACTTCTCGATTTTAAGCAGAAGCGTGCGATCACTTGCCGTGTCATCCGTGACGCTAAACGCACTTGCTGGCGAGATTATGTCTCCACCATCACCTCTGCTTCCTCTATGAGTGCAGTCTGGAAAAAGTACGAAAACTGAGTGGTAAATATTCTCCTGACCCGGCTCCTGTTCTGCGGGTTGCCGGTGTTGATATAGCAAACCCACTAGATGTTGCCAATGAAATTGGCAATCATCTGGTCCGTATTTCTCAGGGACTCCATCTATGCCCCTCATTTCTTTCCTCAAAGTTTGCCAGAGAGTTAGCACCCTTGGACTTTTCTTCTCTCAGAGAAGAACAGTATAATGTGCCTTTTACACTTCAAGAACTGGAAGCAACACCTCAGCTTGCCGATCATCGGCAGCTGGGCCCGACGACATTCATATTCGTATGCTACAAACATTTACATCAGTCAGCCCTTGCAGTCCTATTATGCCTTTACAATCTTATTTGGTCACAAGGAGTTCTTCCACAGCTGTGGAAATCCGCCATTGTTCTCCCTTTCCGCAAACCAGGCACTACGGGACATGAAACCTCCCACTATCATCCCATTGCTCTTACCAGTGCAGTTTGCAAAGTGATGGAACGCCTAGTAAATAGTCGTTTAGTGTGGTATTTAGAGACACACAACAGTCTCTCTCCACTCGTCAATATGGCTTTCGTAAGGGACGTTTCTACCATAGACCCCTTACCACAACGCTTGATACGTATGTTCGTAATGCCTTTGTGAATAACCACTCAGTTTATTGCCATATTTTTTTGACCTTGAGAAGGCATATGACACAACTTGGAGGTATAATATTTTAGCCCAAGCCCACTCCTTTGGCCTTCGAGGCAATCTACCATCCTTCCTTAAGAACTTTTTAACTGACAGGCATTTCCGTGTTCGGGTTAATAATGTGCTCTCCCCGGACTTTATCCAAGCTGAAGGTGTCCCCCAGAGATGTGTTCTCAGCACAACACTTTTTCTCCTTGCTATTAATGATTTGGCCTCTAGTCTTCAATCAAATATTTGGTCATCACTCTATGTTGATGACTTCGCTATTGCCTGTGCAGGCGCTGACTGTCACCTCATTACAGTTTCTCTCCAGCATGCAGTCGACCGTGTTTCCAATTGGGCCACCACACGTGGGTTTAAATTTTCCAGCACTAAAACCCACCAAATTACTTTCACTAGACACTCTGTTATCTCAGATCATCCTTTGTACCTCTATGGCTCCCGTATCCCTGAACGTGATACAGTCAAGTTTCTGGGCCTCGTCTTTGATCGTAGGTTATCCTGGAAACCTCACATTACCTCTCTGAAGGCAACTTGTCACAGCCGGCTGAACCTTCTTAAAACCCTTGCTCATCTTTCATGGGGAGCCGATCGTCGAACCCTCCTTTGCCTACATTCCACCCTTATTTTATCGAAACTTGATTATGGTGACCAGATCTATTCAGCGGCATCTCCTGCTACTCTCTCTAGCCTTAACCCCATTCATCACCAAGGATTACGTTTATGCCTTGATGCTTTTCGCTCTTCCCCTGTCGAGAGGCTCTATGCAGAAGCGAATGTTCCATCCTTATCCGATCGCCGTGATGCCCATTGCCTTCGCTACTATGTACGCTCTCATGATCTCCGCAATCCTTCCATTTATAGAATGGTCACTGATATTAGTAGACATTCTTTATTTGTTCGCCGCCCCTGTTTACTCCGTCCCTTCTCTCTTCGCCTTCATTCGCTCTTGTCTTCTCTTCAATTACCACCACCTTTCTATGTTCATGTAGCATCTCACTTTTCCCTACCCCCCTGGGAAGTTCCAGCTGTTCGAGTCGTTCTTTCTCTCTCCCTTGCTCGAAAGCCCAACTATCTACGGTCGCTTCCCGCTCTCTTTTTCTTGACCACTTTCACTCTCATTCTCATGCCATTGCTGTGTACACAGATGGCTCTAAGTCTTCTGACGGCGTAGGATTCGCAGCAGAGTTTCCGGACAGCGTCGTACGAGGGCATTTACTATCTTCGGCTAGTATTTTTACTGCTGAATTGTATGCCATCCTTGCAGCACTTATCCGTATTGCATCTATGCCTGTGTCATTATTTGTGGTAGTCTCAGACTCCCTTAGTGCTTTACAGGCTATACAGAAATTTGATACACCTCACCCCTTAGTCCTCCGTATCCAACTTTGGCTACGCCACATCTTTACCAAGCATAAAGATATTGTGTTTTGTTGGGCCCCTGGTCATGTTGACGTACAGGGCAATGAACAGGCAGACACTGCTGCGCGGTCAGCAGTACATGACCTACCAGTTTCATATAGAGGTATTTCATTTACGGACTATTTTGCTGCAATATCTTCCCATCTTCACACCCGTTGGCAACACCGTTGGTCTACTATGCTCAGCAACAAACTTCAATCTATTAAACCAAGTATAGGTTACTGGCCGTCTTCTTATCACCAGTGTCGAGGTTGGGAGACTACTCTCTCCCGTCTTTGCATTGGCCATACTCGTCTTACTCATGGAGAGGCGCCCTGCTCCTCTCTGTGAGAATTGCCAAGCTCCATTATCAGTCAGCCACATTCTGTTGGACTGCCCACTTTATCAACGAGCATGCAGAATTTACCTCCGTCGTCATCTTCGCTCCGCTGCTCTCTCTTTACCTTCCCTTCTCGCTGATGGACCCACCTTTCATCCGGACTCTCTCATTGACTTTTTGACAACAACTGACTGACTTCACAAATTCTGATACCTTCAGCCCTTTCTACTTCAATCTCTTGCTACCCTCTACCCCCGTACTATCCCCTGCCCCACTGTTTTCTGTAACCTACTGATCATCCCTCCTCCCTTCTGCCATCCAATACCCTCGCTTCCTTCCCTACCCTGCAGCGCTGTATAGCCCTTGTTGCTTAGCGCTTCTTTTTGATTATAATAATAATAATCTGTGTTCAGCCTTACAAAACCTGGTTTATGCAGTTTTTTGTATGTTCTTTGCTATGTGGAGACAATGACACTAAAGGAAAATTACTGTACATGCTTTGGCTACATGGGATATAAAAACAAAAAGATATAGTTTGTGTATGTGGTAATAGTGGATGTATGTAGAACTGAATTATGAAAACTTTATCAAGCAAAAATTAGTTAAAATTACATTTAAAATATATTGGCAGTTGGAGAGAGATGTTGTGTATCTTAATACGTATATGCTTCTAAACTTGTATTCTAAGCACCTCTGCAAAAACAGTGATTATGTGTGAGTGAGGTGAAAGTGTTGAATGATGAAAGTATTTTCTTTTTGGGAATTTTCTTTCTTTTTGGGTCACCCTGCCTTGGTGGGAGATGGCCGACTTGTTAAAAAAAAAATATAATGTAAGTTGAAACAGTGAAAGGTGGGTGTAGGGTGGTTAGGATGTTTAATTCAAGTGGGATTAGTTTTAAGTCTGGCTAACCAGTTTCCCTGAATCCCTTCATACATGAAGGGATTCAACAACATATCTGTACTTAATAAAGGATTAGTGGAATAGGATTCTCATAAATAGTATATTGTACATATACATTTATTGATTCATTTTGTGCTTCATGAATTAGACAAAGATACCATTTTAAATCTGCTAATATAATTATTTTGCAACAGCTTGATTAATTTCAGCGTTCTTTTAAAATTTAATATATACATTTGCAGGGTGCTTGTACTTGATTTATCAGGGCAACTGGCCAAATTATACGATGACATATTTCCTTGGATCCAGCAACTGAAAAATAGCAGTGCACCTGGGTTGGCCACTCAAGGTTCTATTCCTTTAAAGCTTTCAGATTACCTGCAAGAGTATTGTGGCTCATTAAATGAGAAGAGCAGTACCATGTTTACCAAGTGAGTATTGAATAGTAGTTCTTGCTATTGATTCCCTGTTTATAAATTTTTATTAATGTGAAATAGTATAGAGAAAGCATTGAATATGGTTATACTGTATTCTGTATTTTAATACAGTGGACCCCCGTATAACGATTACCTCCGAATGCGACCAGTTATGTAAGTGTATTTATGTAAGTGCGTTTGTACGTGTATGTTTGGGGGTCTGAAATGGACTAATCTACTTCACAACATTCCTTATGGGAATTAATTCGGTCAGTACTGGCACCTGAACCTACTTTAGGAGTGAAAAAATGTCGTTAACCGGGGGTCCACTGTATTCTTCTTTCAACACACCGGCCGTATCCCACCGAGGCGGGGTGGCCCAAAAGGAAAAACGAAAGTTTCTCCTTTTACATTTTTTTTTTTTTTTATTATCACACTGGCCGATTCCCACCAAGGCAGGGTGGCCCGAAAAAGAAAAACTTTCACCATCATTCACTCCATCACTGTCTTGCCAGAAGGGTGCTTTACACTACAGTTTTTAAACTGCAACATTAACACCCCTCCTTCAGAGTGCAGGCACTGTACTTCCCATCTCCAGGACTCAAGTCCGGCCTGCCGGTTTCCCTGAACCCCTTCATAAGTGTTACTTTGCTCACACTCCAACAGCACGTCAAGTATTAAAAACCATTTGTCTCCATTCACTCCTATCAAACACGCTCACGCATGCCTGCTGGAAGTCCAAGCCCCTCGCACACAAAACCTCCTTTACCCCCTCTCTCCAACCTTTCCTAGGCCGACCCCTACCCCGCCTTCCTTCCACTACAGACTGATACACTCTTGAAGTCATTCTGTTTTGCTCCATTCTCTCTACATGTCCGAACCACCTCAACAACCCTTCCTCAGCCCTCTGGACAACAGTTTTGGTAATCCCGCACCTCCTCCTAACTTCCAAACTACGAATTCTCTGCATTATATTCACACCACACATTGCTCTCAGACATGACATCTCCACTGCCTCCAGCCTTCTCCTCGCTGCAACATTCATCACCCATGCTTCACACCCATTTAGTAATATATATAGGAGAAGGGGTTACTAGGTTAGTCGCCTCTTACAACACGCATGGCTTATGGAGGAAGAATTCTGTTCCACCTCCCCATGGAGGTATTTTAATATACATACAATATATAATTTGTGCATATCACTGATTTAGCAAGTATTTTCTAAGCCAGCATTAATCTTCACTTAAAAAAAAAAAATTCTTTACACTTCTTTCACTTTTATTCCTTTCATCTCATTTGACCAAAAACAATAATTGAGTGGTAGTTTTACAAATTAAAAATAATTCCCTAAAGAAAATTAGTTTGCTATCTATATTATGCATCCCATGTCCATCTTGTGGACAGTAGTCACATGATTACAGTGGTGTATAATAAATTCAGGGACTGACCCCCCTCTCCCCTCACACACAAAAAACTAATGTTTACTTTTTTTTACACTAGAAAATAGCCTGTGTAGCATTTAATGTGCTGCTTATTATCATGTGAGGCAGCCATTTATGTCAGTTTTGTTCCATTACTCATTTTAAAAAATTAAGTGTAATATCTGTGAATAAGAGGCAACTAAAATGCCAGGAGCAAAGGTCTAGTAACCACTTCTTCTGTATAAATTACTAAATGTAAAAAGACAACTTCTGTTTGTTTTTTTGGGTCACCCTACCTCGGTAGGAAACAGCTGGTTAAAAAAAAAAAAAGCTGTAAATAAATTAATGTACAGTATTCATTGACATACCATTTTATGCTTTCATATTTTGAATTGTTTTGAGAGTATATAAAGGATTATCCCAAGAAATTTTTGTGCAATAATGCAACTCTATTCTTTTCACAGATATGGTACTGGAGATGGAAGTTTTTCATGGGAAATAAACATCTTCACAGAGGATGACAACAGAGATAAGACAAGCTCCTGTTTATTAGAACTGCCAGACAGTAAGACAGCCATTGGAGAAGTTACAGAAAGAGTAGAGTCCTCTAAACAATCTAAAAGACCCTTAGTAATGGAGAACAATGAAGAAGACTCCAAGACTCTTGTCTCATTAGTGTCTGTTGAAGATATTGGAGTGTGTGTAACTGCTACTAAGAAAATTTTGAAGCACTCGAGTGGTATTAGTAATGATACCAAGAAACGAAAGAAATGTGCTGAAAGCTGGGACGTCTGTAAAACTGGAACTGTAGTAAGTTGTGGGAATACTAGAAGGGATAAACTTTTAAGTGTTAATGTAGAAAGAAGTATGTCAGGGTTGAAAAGAGAGAGGGAAGCTAAAGTGTTGGGAAGTAATAAAAAAAGTAAGAATATAATGGAACCTCACTGTGTGTTACATATGAATAGTGACTCAGAAGTTTCTTCTAAGTTCTTAAAACATTATCAGAGTGTCAGTCAACATGTAAAGCAAATTGATTCAATTGAGGCTATGAGTTGCTTCTTATTATCTGAAAGAAAAAGAAGATGCAACAAAGATAATAAGTTGATTTCTTCACTTTTAAAGGATGATGACTGGGTCATTTTTCATAAGTTCATAAAAAGAAGAATAAGAAAGATTGAGGAATTAAGAAATAATGACTATTCTGCATGTGAAAATTTTGAAGTGAAACTATTACAAAAGACAAAAACTAGACTAAAATTTTGGCTGTTGTTCCCACAGCTGAAAGGTAAAAAGCCTAGAAACTGGAAATGTATGCTGTATGATATAAGGAATAAGAAAAAATAACCATAATTGTTGAAACTATATAAATTTTTAACCTGCTAAATTAATCTTAATTTTTAACAAGCACCTTGTATAGTAATTGATTGAAAAATTCTAATAAAATATTTTTATAGTTGAGGAAGTATATTTCCTGGATAGTGTCACTGTGTATTGGTGTTGACTTCTGGAGTGCAATACTTACCAGGAATGCTGCTTTTTATCCAGGCTTTAAATTACATAGCTCTTCCTAACCTGAAGTTCTAAAACAAGTATTCTTTTAAAAAAATTTATTTTGCTCGATATACAGGTGAGTAAAAGAATGTGTTTGTCTTTTGTATCTTTAAAAAAATTCATTCTCAAATTCGTTACAAATAAACTAAATCCACTTGAATGGTGAAGGACATGTCAGTGGTTCTGCTTTGTCTTCTTGGTAAATCATGCACAGCCTCCATTCTGTCTGAGCTGGAGATTAGGCCAGTAAAAGACCTGAATGTTCAGTGTTGAATATTTTTAAGATCTTAGATATGACGTTTGAACCCTCATATGTTTAGTTAAAGTACACCTACTTGTTCAACACCAGCCACCTCCATTAGTATGGAAGCTATCTCCATTAGTATCTACTATCAGACACCTATTATCTTGAAATAATACATTATACAGGTAGGGAAGTTTTCATTGCATTTGTGGATTTAGAAAAGGCATGTGATAGGGTGGATAGGGAAGGAATGCGGCAGATGTTGCAAGTGTATGGAATAGGTAGTAAGTTACTTAAATTCTGTAAAGATTTTTTTTTTTTTTTTTTTATAGGATGGTGAGGCTCAGGGTAGTGTGTGTAAGAGAGACGGAGATTACTTTCCAGTAAAAGTAGGCCTTAGACAGGAATGTGTAATATCACCATAGTTATTTTTTTTTTTTTTTTATCATCACACTGGCCAATTCCCACCAAGGCAGGGTGGCCCGAAAAAGAAAAACTTTCACCATCATTCACTCCATCACTGTCTTGCCAGAAGGGTGCTTTACACTACAGTTTTTAAACTGCAACATTAACACCCCTCCTTCAGAGTGCAGGCACTGTACTTCCCATCTCCAGGACTCAAGTCCGGCCTGCCGGTTTCCCTGAACCCCTTCATAAATGTTACTTTGCTCACACTCCAACAGCACGTCAAGTATTTAAAACCATTTGTCTCCATTCACTCCTATCAAACACGCTCACGCATGCCTGCTGGAAGTCCAAGCCCCTCGCACACAAAACCTCCTTTACCCCCTCCCTCCAACCTTTCCTAGGCCGACCCCTACCCCGCCTTCCTTCCACCATAGTTATTAAACATATTTATAGATGGGGTTGTAAAAGTAAATGTTAGGGTGTTGGGGAGAGGGGTGGGAGTAAATTATGGGGAATCAAATACAAAATGGGAGTTGACACAATTACTTTTTGCTGATGATACTGTGCTTTTCGGAGATTCTAAAGAGAAGTTGCAAAGGTTAGTGGACGAGTTTGGGAGTATGTGTAAAGGAAGAAAGTTAAAAGTGAACATAGATGAGAGTAAGGTGATGAGGGTATCAAACAAGTTAGGTAAAGATAAATTGGATATCACATTGGAGGGAGGGGGTATGGAAGAAATGAATGTGTTCAGATATTTGGGAGTAGACTTGTCAGCAGATGGGTTTATGAAGGACAAGGTTAACCATAGAACTCATGAAGGAAAAAAGGTGAGTGGTACATTGAGGTATCTGTGGAGACAAAAGATGTTATAGTGTTGGTACCACAATACGAGAGTATAGTGGTACCAACATTTATATGGGTGTGAAGCATGGGTTGTAAATGCTGCAGAAAGGAGGCTGGAGGCAGTGTAGATGTGTCTAAGAGCAATGTGTGTTGTAAATATTATGCAGAGAATTCATAGTGTGGAAATTAGGAGGAGGTGTGGAGTCACTAAAAGTATTAGTCAAGCGGGCTGAAGAGGGGTTGTTAAGGTGGTTTGATGATTTAGAGAGAATGGAACAAAGTAGGGAGGGGGTAAAGGAGGTTTTGTGGGTGAGGGGCTTGGATTTCCAGCAAGCGTGCATGAGCATATTAGATAGGAGTGAATGGAGACAAATGGTTTTTGGGACCTGACGAGATGTTGGAATGTGAGCAGGGTAATATTTTGTGAAGGGATTAACCCTTAAACGGTCCAAACATATACACATCCTCTCGCGTAGCGCCCCAAATGTATATATACGTTTCATTTGTCATTCATTCAACATTGGCATGATAGGCCTGAGTCGGCTAGACATGAGAGAATGGGTGTGCGCACTCAAGTGTACGCCATATGAAAAAAAATTGGGGACACTTGGGTAACATGTGCTCTTTTTTCCTATAAAAAAAAAACTATTTTTGTTTTCTCAAAATATTCGGGGTGCTACGCGAGAGAACGTTTACATACGTTTGGACTGTTTAAGGGATAAGGGAAACTGGTTAGCTGGACTTGCGTCCTGGAAGTGGGAAGTACAATGCCTGCACTTTAACCCTTTGACTGTCGCGGCTGTATATATACGTCTTACGAGGTACCGTGTTTGACGTATATATACTCATAAATTCTAGCGGCTTCAAATCAAGCAGGAGAAAGCTGGTAGGCCCACATGTGAGAGAATGGGTCTGTGTGGTCAGTGTGCACCATATAAAAAAAATCCTGGAGCATGCAGTGCATAATGAGAAGAAAAAACTCCGTCCGTTTTTTTTAATTAAAATGCCGACTTTGTGGTCTATTTTCGTATAGTATTTATTGTTGTATTCTCGTTTTCTTGGTCTCATTTGATAGAATGGAAAACATATTATAGAAATAGAGGTGATTTTGATTGATTTTACTATAAAAAGAACCTAGAAATGGAGCTGAAAGTTGGGGAAATGTTTGATTTTTGCCAATGTTCAAAAGTAAACAAATGATGCCATTGTCCAATAAATGTCCAACTAGCCATTCTCATATGCAGTCATGAATGGGTTGATGTTATTTATACAATTATTACAGTATTGCAGTAGTCTGCATAATAGTAAGTCTTCTATTTTTTGTTTGAATAAAAATTCAAAATAGAAAGCAAGAGTAATATTAGAGGGGCCTGGAGACATGACTGATGAGCAAAGAAAATGTTATTTTAGAGCCAGGAATGTCTGCATTGTTCATTCTGGACCTTATTTTGAAATTGTCATATTTTTTAGTTTTCGTGAAATTGACCAAATTGCAAATTTCTGACCACATTATTAGGTAGTTGAAATCGGTAAATGGGCAGTTTCTTGTACTCAGTTGATAGAAAAAATAGAGTTCTAAAGAAATAGCTATGAGTTTGGGCGACTGGAATAATGGAATTAGCTGAAAATAGTTCTCAAAGTGGGCGAAATCGCCGATTTGTAAACAGCGCCGAGGTCGCTAACTTCGCGAGAGCATAATTCCGTCAGTTTTCCATCAAATTTCGTTTTTTTTTTTTTGGTGTCATTACAATCGGGAAAAGATTCTCTATCATTTCATAAGAATTTTTTTTTTTTAAATTTTGCGACACCAGGAGACACCTCAGGATTGGGGGTTGCGACAGTCAAAGGGTTAAAGGAGTGGTTTGGAATATTGGCACTTTTGAGGGACGTCTAAGCTGTCGTATCTGAGCGCCTCTGCAAAGACAGTGATTATGTATGAGTGATGGTGAAAGTGTTTAATGATGATGAAAGTTTTTTTTCTTTTTGGGTCACCCTGCCTCAGTGGGAAATGGCTGACGTGTTAAAAACAATTATTTTAATTGTGAAATAATTAAATTGTGAAATAAATTAAATTAAATTAATTGTGAAATAATTAAAATAATTATCTTCAAATTTTTGCACTTCCATGGAATAATTGAGCATAAACAAACTTTTGCTCGTAAAATAAAAAAAGGAAGACCAGTAGCCTGCTGTTATGGCACCACACGTATACACACACAGTAGTGCTAAGCACAGCAAGTTGAAGGGAGCCAGGTAATAGTGACATCAATTTAAAGATGCATTATATGGCAGTCACTTGAGTCTGCCAAAAAAAAAAAAAAAAAAAAGCATGAAAAATCCTTCTCGGTATGACTAAATCCAACAGCTCATGCAGCTGGATTTAGATACCAAAACTGCTACAGTTTTGGTATCTGAATCAAAACACAAGCTATAGTGATTGTTCATACCAAATACAGTGGACCCCCGAGTTTCATGATTAATCCGTTACAGAGAGTCTGCCGAAAGTTGAAATACACGAAATTTGAAACCGTTTTCCCCATAAGAAATAATGTAAATCCAATTAATCCATTCCAGACACCCAAAAGTATTGGCAAAAATTATTTTTTTTATAGATTAAATATAAATTTACATACAGAAAAGAATGAGAAATCAAGTATATAAAACAATAATAACATCACACTTACCTTTATTGAAGACTCTTGTTGGTGTATGGAACATAAGAAAACAGGAACTGCAGCAGACCTGTTGGCCCATTCTAGGCAGGTCCTTCACAAACCATCCCACTAACAATATTGCCCAACCCAATTTTCAATGCTCCCCAAGCAATAAGCTTTGATAGTTCTATTCACTCATGCACAAGTCCCACTCAGATCAAATTGTGTGTGGGGGGAGTACCCTGGCTGGTTTGTGTGGGGAAGTACCCTGGCTGGTTTGTGTGGGGAAGTACCCTGGCTGGTTTGTATGGGGAAGTACCCTGGCTGGTTTGTGTGGGGAAGTACCCTGACTGGTTTGTAGGGACGTACCCTGGCTGGTTTGTAGGGAAGTACCCTGGCTGGTGTACATAAGAAAGCAGGAACACTGCAGCAGACCTTTTGGCCCACACTAGGCAGGGCCTTCACAAACCATCTCACTAACAGAATATTTGCCCAACCCAATTTTCAGTGCTCCCCAAGCAATAAGCTTTGATAGTCCTATTCACTCATGTGCAAGTCCCACTCTAATCAAATTGTGTGTGGGGGAAGTACCCTGGCTGGTTTGTGTAGGGAAGTACCCTGGCTGGTGTGTGGGGAAGTACCCTGGCTGGTGTGTTCTTTCTTGAATTCTATCACATTTCTCACCTTCTTTACCAAAGGGCTGGCACTAGGAACTTTCTTTTGGCTCATGGTGGCTTATTTAGCAGTTGAAAGCACAAAAAACAATGGATTATTACAAAATATAATGCCACACTGACTCTCTGAATGGTGTGTGGGAGCCTTTGTGTATGCCTGGCTGCATTCCGTAAGTTGAAACGAAGCACAAGGCTCATGAAACTCGGGTCCACTGTACTGTATTTAATAAAAAAATTCACTTATAATAATTATTTATTAATATTTTACTGGGGGGGAGGGGGGTTGCATATTAAGCCTGTAGATGTCACAGTGCTTGGGGAAATGGGAAGCATTCAGGATTGATCCTAGAGAGGGAAGGTCATATGGCATGGGAGGCAGATGTGCAGATGAGCACAGGTAGGGGTTAGTGGAGGAAGGAAAGTATGCAAGAATAAAATTGAAATCAAAGTT